CCGTTGTATTTACTTCCTGCGGCATCCTCACCGCAGTCAAATGGTGGGGGTCGATGTTGTGTTCGCCACACACTGCGCTACCAAATCGGCAACTGTAGTGTGCGGTTTGTGGTGCACCTACCAGCCTTGGTGAAAATAAGAGAACTGCAGTGATCGAATCCAACGGTGAGCTCCAAGTCCGTTTCAAACACAACATTTGGGAACCAAATAAGCCTTCAAGATGGATTATGGCGTTGTGATTATGGTGTTGATCCCTGGTTCGGAGATGGAAATCTTGGGTATTTGAAGAACCAAGATAGAAACTTTTATATTTGCCTGAAAATTTGATAACAAAACAAGGTCAATCAATTGTGTTTTTGTTTCAATTTCCCGATACCATGATAATTGAATTGTTGCCATTTACCATCTTTTTTCCGTTAAAATTAGCTTTTGAGCTTCATTTGAGATTAAATTATAGTTTGGTGAGGGAGAAAGCAAATTATACATATGCTATATCTATTGAGCTTCAAAGGTTGTACCATGGAAAATTCTTTCAATCTTTACCATGTCTGGATTGAAATTCATATATCTAACAAGATTTAGTCGAAACAAAACAGGTGGTTTTGAAGAAGAATGAGATAGTTATTCAAGACATGGATAGGGTGATTATAAAGGTTGGCTTTAATCAATTTGTTGGCATGATGATGATGATCAAGATTAAGAGACTTTGAGTTACTCTTTAGGTTGCAATCTTTTTTTGGTTTACATGTAATGATCCAGACATGTAATGTTGGTTTGAAACTCTAAAACTAATTTATAGAATCATCATTGTGTTGTGTTATTACATTGTGTTATGTTTCTTTTGTGACAACAGATGTGGCATTTGTTGCAGAAAGCTCAAGAACTGATCATTCTCGGGTTTTGTCCATAGATGCTGCTGAGAAAACTTCTTCATTTAAATCCAGTCATGATGTTCTCAAATGCCATTATACTAATGTGTTTGAGGGTTGAAGTAAAAAAAAATTAATAATAAAATAAAATAAAATTTACAATGCACACTAAAATTGACAAAACCGATAACCATTCAAGAAAAAACAAGGAGTGCAAAACCGATACTTTGATTAAAAAAAAAAAAAAGGCTGATATTTTGTTACAACTGATAAGAAAAACAATTCACTACACATCCCGATATTAGTATATATTTTTTTAAGTTGAATAAAGAAAAGTTAGTATATTTTTTTATAGTTTTTCAAACCATATTATTATAGTTTTTATAAGTTGAATAAGAAAAAGTTAATATAAAAAAACAAGTCAATAGACATCCCGATATTATTAGTTATGGGGTAAAACTAAAAAAGAAAATAAATCACTTTAAATGCAACCGCATAGAAAAAAATGCCTAAACACTTCAAAAAGCTATAATTAACCTCGATAACGATCCATCTTTCGTTTTCGTATGTCATTTTTTTATTATAAAAGATTTTTTTTCTAAAAAGGTTATCGTCTTTTTTGCGAAGTTTGGCCTTTTTTTTATATCTTTTTTAGCTTGAACATATTGAGTTACTTACAATTTATACTTAAAAATTATTATTTTTATTTATTTAGTAAACGTTTTCATTATATATTTAATGGACAAGTAGTTGCCTTATATGTAATGTGTAGTATGTGACTAATCTCTGCCATATGCTTAAATTATATTATTTGAGAAAATATCGATAATTATATATAAAAAGTTCTAGATTGTCTTTAATACCATAAATCCGGTCCTGAAAATTTAAATATACTTAAATGCCCAAGACGAACCACATAAAAAAGGTCTTTATCGTTATTATAAGTTTTTTATTTATATAATAAGCATCCACCCTAAATGTGCAACATAGGGGATGTTCACCTGTTTGTCATATAGGCTCAATGCAGCTTACGTTATTGACTAAGGTGTTGTTTGTTTTTTTAGAAAAACTTCTTCAAACCACTTTCTGCTGCGCGGCGCAGCACACGCGCAACACTTTCCCTCTCGCAGCAGTTTGTTTTTTGGAAGTCTTCGGAGTCAAAAACCTTTGCGCGTGCTCTGTTTGGCGCAGCACTTGTACTGCATCTTCCAACCTCTTCTTCTTCTTTTTTGCTTGCTGAAATTTTGATTATATATTGTTGAAATTTTATTTCACTTTTTTTTTGTTTATTATTGTTGAATATTTTTTTCGTTTTTTTATATTCAATAATGATAATTTCTTAATAAAATATCATTATTTTTTACTAAAATATATTTATGTTTTGTAGAAATATCATTATTTTTTACTGAAGTATCATTAATTCTTGCCAAAATGTTATACATTATTAAATTTTACGTATTAAAACACTTTTTTCGGTTTATAAAATTAATTTATTTGAATTTTGTAATATCTGCAGCAGTATGCAGATGTTAAAAAACAAACACGCTTCTTATTACAGTCTGCAGCCGTTTGGTCCACCTCTTCTACTGCAGAGGTTGCAGAGGTGGTCCGCAGACTTCATAAATTTTTGCTTCAGAAAATCAAACAGCACCTAACACTATCTAGACTATAGGTGAACTATAAGACTTTTTTGTCAAGTGTGTTGATTGTATAAATAAGTGTTATTGTTTTAAGGTGTTGATCAATCTTATTTAATTTTTGTGAATTTGTTCCTTTATGTTTTTATCCATTCAATAACTATATTTAGGATTAGAGTAAATATTTTTTAGATTAGGTATTGTTGTCTTTTTTCCTATAAATTTTGTTTTTATTGTAGGAATTATTTAGTATTTGAGGAAATATTGACGCTTAAAGACAAAAATTGTATATTGTTTTTGATATTTCTGTTCTTTGTTATTCGTAAATTCTGATTTTATGCTCGGATAACATCAGTAGTACTAATCATCATTTAACTCAATATCAATTCCTTATATGAAATCATTTTGTTTATAGATAATTTGTATATTAGCCGTGTAACATATTTTGTTTGGTAATTCTACTTTTGTACACTTAAATTATTTTCTTTATTTGCAATCATTGTTTCAATCCAAAGTCTTATTGATTATAGATACTCTTTTATTTGCAATAATACTCTAGTGTTTTCGATTGTTGGATGAATTTTGACTCATTTGGCTTGTATCATTTTAATTAATTTTTTTATACGAGTCTAACATAACGTATTAACATGTACATATATTGTTCAAAAACCTATGGTAAAAACATGAGTCAAGTTCTTATAAGCTTAAACTTGATTCATACACGTTTTTGCAAGCTTTATTTATTTATTTATTTATTTTTATTACAAATGAGCTCCAATTAAATTCAATTAACTTCGTAAAAGTTTGACTGGTTTCTGACCCTAATATGTTATATGATGGAGCATGGAGACATTCTTTGTGTAATTTTAGAAACACAGAGGACCAAGTTGTAAATATCGGCCAAATCTTGTTAAATGCGAGTTTGGTTATAACGAAATTTCCCGCTCGTTTATAATTCAATCAGAATTCATCGCCATCTAAACCATCAAATTGTCTCAACGAATTTGCAGAATTCTTTTTCTCCATAATTTCCTCAATTTCCATTTTGTATCGCCTACAATTCACAGCTCTCTCAAAGCAAGAAAATGGATGACGATTTCGTAAGGGACGCACGAAAGGGGAAGGCAAAGCTTGAAGAAGAAGATCCAGATCCAAAGCCAAATCCATACGCTATGCTGCCTGAACCAATAACAAAAAGCTATAGCAATTTGGGTGAAGATGTCATCTATCTGAAACATTTTGGTAAGAAGTTTGCAATTGATATTGAATGTATATTGTAGCTCATGTTCTTGTTTTGTATTATACTTCTGAGTGAAAAAAGTAACCGACAGCTGTTTGTTTGGTGTTCGAATTGAGTTCGATTTGATGCAGTTCTGATGAAATTAGGTTTTCTAGTGATAATTTCTTCCGAATTTCATCCTTTCTTTTTATTTCTATCAGATTCATGTGATCGATCTTGTTGTTTTCACATCAAAATCGATGATACATTTAAAATCCTATTTCCGTTCTTGTTAATTTAGTGTTAGATAACTTTCCCAGTTATATCCAATTGATGTATCGTACATCGTTCAAGGTTAATGCATCAATCAAATTTGCCGACTAAATCACTGTCTCTGTTATCAGGTCCACCAAGAAACTATGCAGAAATTGCAGTCGATACTCCAGAAGCAGTGAAGAAGATACAATTTAGATTTCGTGAGAAAGAAGTAAGTAATCATCCTTCATTTTCCTTTTCTTCATAAACCAATCTTATACGACTCATTCTAATTCTCCGTTCTTTCAATTCTTAGTTTAACAGGATTCTTGGGAAACGTGATGCAAGGATAATCAACATTCAAAGTGTCTCAGGAGCCACAATTGGGCTTCTTTCTGATACTTCATCCAAGATTCGTCGCCAGTTATATCTAGAACTTCTGGGTACTGCTGATCAAATCAAGACTGCTGAACTCCTCATTACAGATGTAATTACAGAGGTAAACAACAATTCAGAACTTTCAAGTTTCAACATCTGAAATCTTTAAAGATATTTACTAAAACCAACATTTTTAGGGTTATGAAAAGCCATTTTTCCCAAGAGCTTTAATGCCAGCAAATATCTATCATTATCGAAGACCCATTTTTGTAACCCAAGTTGTCGCTTTCTTGGGCTTCAATAACAGCAATGTTTTGAAAATGGAATCAGAATCCAATACTTGGATAGAGGTTTGTTTGTTGTTGTTCATATATATTCTTGGGCAAACCATGGTCAACTCATATTATGAATTATGAATATATGTATATTTAGGTGGATACATATCCTCCTGAAGGGTTACTCATGATGAGAATGGTCAACATGTATGGTCAACGGCTAGATGTTGCTAATGCGATCATGATGATTAATGATTGGGTTGAAGAGGTGAGTCTATGTCTTTATTTATATTTTTTGTGATTGGATTATTGAAGAAAGATTTTTGATTGATTATTTTTTTTTTTTTTTTTTTGGGTTTTTATTAGTATGAATCTGGGAAGATGAAGGAAGATGAAAAACAGAAAGATGATTCTGGAATTAAAGAAGGTGGTGATGAATTAGGAAATGAAGCAGAAGGTTAATGAGTATATAAGAAGAAGATGAAAGATTTTTGTTTTAGTGGTAAAAAGGAATTGGGAATTGTTGTTGTAAATGTAAAACATGGAAATTTTTACACGAAGAAAAAATGGGTTTGTGTGTAGGAGTAACAACATTTGTTTCATTAGAAAGAAGGAAAAAAGGCGTTACATGTAGTCTTGTTGTGTAACAAAAAGAATTTGGAAATGAAATCAAAATCATTTTGAATAAGAATTTGCATATCCTAGAAACTTGATCTAAAATACATGGACATTTTTGATGATATGGAAAAAAAAGTTCATATGATAAATATCTATAATAATGAAAATATAGTATAATATGAATTTTAATAAGAGAAAATGCCAATTTGTTTTTAACTTTTTTGCACAAAATAGCCATATAAATTACCCTTTTAACCATAATTTTCACAGATGACCATTTCCGCTAAAGATGATGTCATCTGTGATTTTTATTTTGCCCAAAACAACGTCGTTTTGGGGTTGTTGACTATAAATGCTGATGTCATGTTCATTTTTTTTGGTCATGTATTGTTTTGTCATTTTGACTGCAAAAATTTGTATGTGTTAGAGGATGTTACCTTATAAAAGAAAGTTTACTAAAAAAAACTTATCAAACCTATTCTCTCATCTTTGGAGTAAAATTTTTAGTTGTTTTTTTCTATCAATTATATTCATCTTACCTTTCGTGCTTTTATTGATATAACATGAGTTCAAAGGATTCATATAAGTATTTTATTGTTGTTTGTGTTAGTGGTTCATGACTATTAGAAAATAAAGAATTGATATATGATGTCTTGTGTACAACCATTTGTTAGAAATTTTGGTGTTGAAATTCTTGTCGATATAAATTTCATAGATGTATACAATTTGGTCAGAGAGATGGCAAATTTGGATGACAAACCTAATATCAATGTGTCTTTCCAACACTCTACCTTGAAGTGTGTTATTCAATAGCTACTGATGAGGGTGATGTGAAGTGTTTAAAGAAAATTATTCAGAAGGTTTCAACTCATGTACATGTGGATAATGATATAGTGGAGGAGACAAATAATGTTCAATAGAATCCTGCAAATCGATATGTTATTGGTAGGAACCTATCTAGCGAAGGAAGAGGGTCTAGTAGTAGAATAGGGAAAAGCTCTATTGAGAACATAACCATTAACATTCATTTTAGATAGGGTGTCCCCATTGGCGCGACCTTTGCAAATATTTTCCCAAATGCGTTTCATGGTTTATATAGTCATCACCTCTTGTTGAACACTCGAACATAGTAGCCAAGTTCAACAGAAATGTTACAACAAAAACATTGTTTTGGAAGACTGCAAAAGCTTATAGAGTGGAAGATTTTGAGTACTATATGAGGCACTATGTTGAACAAACCTGTCGAATGGAAGTACTTAATAGAATCAGATCCAAAAATATGATCATGAGCATATTTATAGGGTTATCGTTAAAATCTTATGACATCAAATAGTGCAGAATCCATCAACGCAATATCAAAAGATGTTCGTAAGATATATGTATTGATGCTTCTTAAGTTCTTTCGAATGTCGTACAAAAACCAACACCATTCACTAGAAAAGCCTCCTTTATATGTCATCCAATGTGTAATAAAGTCTAGACAAGAAAGTGAAATAGTAAGCCTTTTTTACAAGCATGGGATGCGTTAAAACAATTCAACACTCCATGCACCATCATTTTAAAGTAGAGACCTGTAAGAAGCGTGGGTTGAATTATTAAACAATGTAAAAGCAGTCTTACTCCATAACTACCTAGTTGGAAACAAGCCAAGTCATTTCTCAAAGTACCCAAAAGGTTTGTACACAATATTAAAAGTCATACCATATGATATTTCACTATTTTATTTGTTCTCTTTATTATTATTTCCTAAAAACAACAATTCCCACTATTTTTGTAAATATTAATTTCATAAAATAATGTTTTTCCAATTAAAAACATGTGTTGATAATACTTATTAATAATCAAAATTACTCTAATAAATAATAAATTAATAGTAACTTTTTAATAAGGTGTGGCTCTGTAGGATCACATGTGACATAAGTTGAGGGTTCAAGTCCCGTCGTGGACATAAGTTGATTTAAGGAGTAGTTTAGAAGTATGTTAGATTTGTTGTTTCAAAAAATATGTTATTAGCAATATCATTCTATAATGACCATTGGAAATAAAGATCTTTCACACTCCACTAGCCCATTTGGATAATAGATCCCTCTCTTGGAATACTGCCCTTTGAGAAACAGCCATTTTGTTCTTACAGGGTTTGTAAAACAATCACCCAAAAATCTTGTTGGGATATCCAAAAAGATGAAACATCTCTATTTTGGGTTCTAGATTGTCGAGCGTTTCATAATGAGCATAAGCATCATAATTATAGACTTCCATATGTACTAATGATGGATGAATCCTACTCCACATCTTAAAGAGTGTTTCATAAACATTCTTAGTTGGTGTGTGTAACACCTCGGATTTCAACAAAAAAATCATTTTTGATTCACCAAACATTATTCAATAATCCAAGTCATCATAGAGTTCTAAATCATTATTAAAACAATATCAGAGTATTCCAAAATCCACAAGACATCATAAGCCGGCGAATGTGTACAATCATGCCTCCGCCTTCCCGGAATCTACAAAAGTACCTAAAACACATTTAAATCAACAATGTAAGTACGAAGCTTAGTGAGTTCCCCAAAATACCACATACACGATTAATTAGCCTCTCATGGCTATATCTCAATAAGGACCCTCCGCTCATGTGTCTCAGTGAAGACCCTCCGGTCTTACGTCTCGGTATGGACCCTCCGGTCATAACTCAATATCTACACACAATAATATAACATCATAAGTCACAAAGACAGAATGCATAATAACACATATCTCAGTATAAGCAATTAAGACCCTCCGGTCAATACTATGAATAAGACCCTCCAGTAAATAACACGGATAAGACCCTCCTGTCACACATAAATTACCACACAAGTAAATATAGTGAGAAGACTCACCTAAAACGCTACGCGAATAATCCTACACTGCCGCTACTGCTGCGAACCGACTCCTAAACTGAGCCAAACAACCCAACACCCTAATCAATAACTAAACAAGGCTAACCCCAGCACTAGGCCCAAAGATAGCCTAACTAACCATGCCCACTATTGGTCCAAATCCATTAGGCCCACAAAATCCCTACAAAGAAAGCACATAATCTAATCCAAAGAGGAGTCTGAATCTAAAAGTAATTCCCCAGGCCAAGAAATCCAACTCTCAAAGCCCAAGACACAAAACCAAAGCCCAAAGTCAAAAAATGTCAAACAAGCCTAAAATGGCACTGGGCCATTTATGTTGGGCGTACCCACATGTATGTTGGGCGTACTACTAAATCCCTTAGTACGTGGAGCGTACTATCAATTACACTGGGCGTAGATGCGATTCATCTAAACTTGTTTCATGACTTATTCCCTTAAGCACTTGGCCCCAGAACCTCATGAAACCTTCGAAATAAGCTCTTAACTGATAAAGTTGGAAACTTTATCAGTTTGCATGTCTTAATGAGGCCCAATCATGCAAACTAATCCTTTAAGACCCATAAACACCACCTTAGCACATGCATGGTCCATCCTTAAACATCAAGCAAGTATCTTTATCAACTTATAACCTCAGAGATACTAAGAGTAGCAACTCAAAGCTCTTGGAGTGGTGGCAAACCACTAGATCTCACCCATGAAACCAAAATGGGACCAAAACTCATATAATACTAGATCTAGGCTTCAAATGAACAAGGTTAGAGCTTTATACCTCTAATAAGCTGGAAATGAAGAAGAGAGTCCAGATCCACAAGCCTTCCTTCGATCCACCACCTTGCATCAAGTTCCATTTCTTGAATAATCACCAAAACCCACTAAAGATGCACACAAAGAGCTTACAACACTCTTCGAGGAGGCTATGGTTCGAAACTTGGGTTTTAGAACAATGGAGGTTGATAAATGAGGGAGTCTTGACGTTATAATGATGTTTATATAGTGCCCAAACCCTAAAAATAAGGTTTGGAACTCTGACCATTACGTAGGGCGTACCATTAGGTACGTTGGGTATACATGGTCTACCCATGCGTCCCTTAGCTCGACACATGGGAGTAATCAGCCAACTTATTCCACCAAGGGCCAAACTTGCCAAAACTTCAAACTACCATAACTTCTTCGTTATAAGCTCGTTTCCAACGAACTTCATATCCACGGAAAGGTGGCGAGGAACCCTACACTTCTAACAAGACACCATAGTCTTAAAACTCCCCGAACAAAAACCCAAAATTCATAAAAGACCGAGTTATCAAATTATGATTATACCCTAGGGCCCCGGAAACACCATCGAACACTTGGATCACTTAAACCATAACACTCACATCCAAGAAGGGCCAAATCCTTCCTTCCCCAAGGCCTGAAGCCTTATGATGACTGATAATTGGGCCACGACCCCGCACAGTGAAACTATTCGAAACCGGGTGTTACAACTCTCCCCCACTTAAATTCGATTTCGTCCTTGAAATCATTCCTTACCATTCTCAGCATGCTCGACAACCCGCGGGACAAAATCACAACCCTAAGCATCCAACGGTCTTCCCAAGGCAACCCAACCCAACCCAAGCAAAACCTTACAACCCGAAGAAGACAATCCGAATCCCATGCAGAAAACCAACCCTACTTCTCCTGAAATCAAAAATTTAGAATTGATCTGACTCCCCGACAGACCGCCCATACTGAACCATTGCTAAATCCATTCCACTTTATCCCCCAAACTGACTACTCAACTTCTAAATACTTGAGATCCCCAATAGAAAACAGAGTCATTGCCTAATAATTGATGTAGAACACTTATACTTGTCAGAAGACTCAGATAATCCTTCGATTAGAGGACTAATCCCTGTAATGATTAGACCCAAACGAGAATTGTACAACATAGTCCAATCAACCACT